GCAGACGAAAGTGCACTGACTATATTGTAATACATATTCACTTATAACGGTGAGTTACGCCGATATTGCTGAATATGGTGTAAGACTCCAAAAAATAGGTGACCTAATTGCAATCTCCAAGCCAACTGCTAAGCATGAGGACTAAGGTACTGTCACAGATGCTCTAAAATAGCACGCTAAAAAGCGTTCTATTGAGCATGTGCTAAAATCCAACGTCTGTCGAGTCACAAGCACGGTGCCCAAAATTAGCATGCTAATTTTTAGCAACATTCCAACACATACATATGCTTCTAATAAGAAGTGCTGCTCAATTGAAACATGCTTTCGTGCTTTAAATTAGTATGTGACCTGTAAATATTATTACAGGTTAAGGTAAACCTACCCTTTACTTTGGAAAATCTTTTAATCAGCAGTGGAACTCGTTATTTAAGATATTGCAAAGGTCTATCCAGATATTGTTGAGGTAAAGAGTTTTTTGTCCTACCCGATATGTTGACGAATTTTTATGCCCCAATGGAACCTACCGCCAAAGGAGCTTTTACGCTTTTATAATTATCTTCAATACATGCTTAACATAAGTGAGTACCACGTCACATAATGGCATTATAATACAAACTGGATTTTATAAAACTCTTTTTAATTGCAAGAGCATTCATAAGATCCTGTTTTGAACTCGTTTTCTTTTAACTCCGCAGAAGAGGGGGTCGTTTTGTATTCCTTTACAAATCGCTGAGATAAAGCAATGGCCGGTGTTCAGTCAGCCTTTTCAATACCAAGAGTGGAAGGACGAAGGGGACACATTAAAAGCACATTGAGAGTGATAATTCAATGCAAATTTGGTTTTGTCTCTCGCCGGCTCGACATTCGATCCGGAGACTCCTTGCTTGGCAGTATGACATGCAGTACTAAACATAACATCACGCCTTTTATCCTCGAAGGGGTAGACAAAGGTGCACATTATACCACTGTACAATGTAACACCCACTTTTCACTATTTATGTTATGAGTCCCATGTAATAGGGGGTGAGCCTATTGCCATATACCGGGGACAGTTTCAGACTCCGTGCTACTTCTGAGAATTTTTTAAGTAAACCTAGTAATACATTGCCCGACCCGGCAATCGTATCCGAGATCCCTTGCCCGGTAGTCGCACTTGCGACCACTCGGCCAACGAGGCAGTCTGTATTAAAACAGTATTTATAACAGATGACCCAAAATACCAAGATATCATCTATTTTATTCTAACATCATCCTAGATCAGTATTGACTTAACTCCTGAACTCCAAATTCAAAATGTAAATAAGTTCATTCGCTCTCATTGAACCGTTGTCCTCATTCATTCACTCACTCACTCCTGGTTCGGTTCACATGACCCAGTGAAGCGAGGCGGCCTTGTATCGTTCAGATCAAATAATATATTAGCAACAATGTGTAATCTATTTATAGTAAAACATCCTCCCATACATTTGTTTATTAATTGTTGCTTGGGCCAGTCTGGTCGATCTATATCTATTCAATATGAATAATATGTTGCCTCCCATGCAGCTGATTTCTTTAAGAATTTAAGGGCATCAGTAAACTGCCATTGTGTTGGCAAAGATGCATTGATTACATGGGCGACTACTTCGATTAATACAAATAAAAAGTCATTTCAATTTAATGACAATTTCATCCATTAGTTATTGGCTTCAGATCATTTCCATGTTAACACACACATCATATTCAGAACGGACACAACAAATTGTGGAACATACTAAGAATAATTGTTTCCTTAAGAAAAAACCTTTTCAGATTGAAATTGTATGTGAAAGTGTTTGTAAACTTACCCACAATGGTGGAGACAATCGTTGCCTGAAACAACACTTTCTTTTCTTCTCTTTTATAACCTTATCATGACATAGGCACTATACCTTCAGACTAGAAGTGCTCAACATCCTAAATACTGAGAACTAGCTTTTGTGTGTGTGGTTGCGTGGGATATTTTTTTTTTTTTATATTTGATGGGGCGACGTTTGACCACTATCTCGCCTGATGTTAAGCGATGATGCGGTCTACGAAGGAGCACGTCGTCCCATAAGCAACCTATTCACTCGGGCCTTGAAGACTCCCAGGTTATACCCTTCAGGAAATACAGACTCTGGCAAAGATATGAAGTAGCCTAGCTGTCATTGCCGACCATAATCTACCCCTGTTCCAAATTTTATCCGGATATCTTCAGCCGTTTTGACGTGAAGGGGTAACAAACGTTTAAGTGTGGGAGAGCCATGCTTAGGTACGAATGGGCCGGCTCGACCGAAGTGATACCACGGCCTCATAGAAAACCGACGTGAAGCAACGCTCGCGTTGTGTTTCATCGTGTGAGTGAGGTTACCGGAGGCCCAATTACCGTCCCCTTCCCCAATCTCCCCAATCCCTGAATCCCCAACGATCCTCAAACTCCTAATCCCCAAAAAGCCGGTAACGCACTTGTAATGCCTCTGGTGTTCCAGGTGTCCATGCGCGACGCCGATTGCTTACCATCAGGTGATCCGTCTGCTCGTTTACCGGCTTATGCCATAAAAAAAACGAACAAACAAACATAGAAACTTTCCCATTTTATTCCCATAACATTAGTAGGATTAAATTCTATCAGTCGTTTGTTACCAAGCAAGCTACTGTTGCTAACACACACATTGGTTCAGTACATTGGTACACCGGTACACCGGTACTCCTGCACCGACACAGGGAGATGGCGATCTTAAATTTTAATGACTTGACTCCCAATTGGCGCAACGGCAAAGTGTCCGCACGCCAGCTCAGGGTCGTAGATTCAATTCCCACATCCGGACCCACCGGAGTGGGCCACTCATCTTCCTTGACTAGATTGGACTAATGGTGCATGTGTCAGTGGGGAATTTCTTATGAATCATTTTTATTGTTAGCCAGCCGATTTGATTTAAATTGGAAAGATTTGCCAAAATATGCCGTCTATGGTATGCATGCAAATGATAGCATCTAAAATGATTTCGGATGGTTTCTTATGGCTACCGAAATAGGCTAATTTCCTCAGTAAATCAAAAATATAACACCAATTATTTGCGTAAAAAATATTGAATTTGACAAGTTGGTAATTACGTTATTGGTGATGAAGTCGTGGGATACACCCACGCTTAGGCTATATTAACTGTAGCCTAAGCAAAATATTATTACATTTTTCTATTTAATTTTCTTTATACTTTTCTCTTGTTGGCTTTCTTATGTCTTATGAGCTTTGAGTAGTTCGAAGAATACAAACTAAAAGTGTCCATGAACCGAAGCCCTGTGCTCATGGCAACAAACGCAAAGTTGAAAAGTAGAACTTAATACTGATCTCTTTAACTGGAAAAAAAGAATCATTTTGAAAATACAGCTCTGCCCACCCTTTCAGGAAATACAAGCCAAATTCTCCAGACACGAGACAACATCAATAAAAATGTCATAAAAACATTAATTTGTGAACATAGAAATGCGTCCAAACTATTTCAGTCCGCCATTTAAAATTAGACACCTTTCGTCATATGTATCAGCTGGTTCATTGATAACTGTGCCCTATTTTTCGTTGGTTAAGGTTGATTATTGATTGGTAGTGATGTAGGTTAGGGAGACTGCTTGTTTTAAACCAGTGTAAGATTGTGAATGGTTATCGTTACCTGGACTGTGCAAAACTATGTTTATTTTCTTAATACATACATAGAGTCTTGTAAATCATTCACATTATAAGTTAATGATCAAAATCTAAATATTCGTTTTGTTATGTTCCACTTTAAAGGTTAAATAGTTATAACATTACAATAATCTCTGCGAATAAGTCAGTCAGTCAGTCAGTCAGGATCATCAGCACTTTAAAGACAATTATGATAGATGAAGAATTAAGATATCGGATTAAGGATTCAGGACCTAAGTCTCAACAGTTGATTAACTCGTCGAGTACCGGTTTTATAGACACAATTAAAGAACAATAGGTCGCGGTCACCGGTGACCGCTTGGTGTTTGACAGATTAAACAAACATACTATTGTTTAGTTATATACTTTTCAAAGTAAACAGTCCGGAAAATCATAATAAGTTATTGTTTTTTTTCTTCTCATTTTGTTGAAATAATGGAATTGGCATACTGCCAGTGACGTAAGTCGGTGACGTATGTACTGTAATACATGTACATACATTGTACATATTATGTATAATCACGACTGTTTACACCAAGCGGTACTTAGTATTTATGTATACATTATATTTATATGCTGATTGCCTCATTGGCCGAGTGGTCGCAAGTGCGACTGCCGGGCAAGGGGTCTCGGGTTCGATTCCCGGGTCGGGCAAAGTATTACTGGGTTTTTCAAAAATTCACAGTAGTAGCACGGAGTCTGGCATTGTGCCCGGTATATGGCAATAGGCTCACCCCCTATTACATGGAACTCATGACATAAATAGTGAAAAGTGGGTGTTAAATCGTACAGTGGCATAATGTACACCTCTGCCTACCCATTCGGGGATAAAAGAGTTATGTTATGTGTATATTTATATGCGAGTTATATTATAAAACCTATGGAACATAATGATTTAGTTTACTGCCGTGCAATCCACAAACTCCAAAGGTAAGCTGTTGGACACAGCTGTTTAAAAGTTTCAGATAAATCGGTGAGTGAGCTGCCAGTGGCGTAAAATGCTGTCAGCAAAATGCTACGGGCCCCCAGTAGGAAGGGATCCCTTTCAGAAATTTTCATCTGAACTTTTCTGTTTTTTAATAGGAACGTTGCCTCATCTGACGAATTTGCCACAGGCCCCGAACGATATACTTACGCCACTGGTTACTGCCTGGATTCTGTTTTACCTAAGTACACTTAGGTTCCTCAGTCGGGTTTTATATCCTCTGGTTATAAGTGGGGATTGTGACAATCCCCCATAGAAGATGCACAGATCTTCTTAAGTAGACTCAAGCTGTTTATGATAAAGTATTGTAGCAAGATACTCCTTGGTTTCCAGGCATAGTGCTGACCTTCTACCTGGTGTTCTACGCGGTGCTGGCGCTCATGTTCGCGCTCTGCATGGGAGGACTGTACCTCACGCTGGAGGAAACCAGACCCACCTACCTTCTAGAGGAGTCACTTATTGGTGAGTTTTACCAAAATGTTACTTTTTTATGGCATAAGCCAGTAAACGAGCAGACGGATCACCTGATGGTAAGCAATCGGCGTCGCACATGGACACCGGAACACCAGAGGCGTTAAAAGTGCGTTACCGGCCTTTTGGGGATTAGGAGTTTGAGGATCGTTGGGGATTCAGGGATTGGGAAGATTGGGGAAAGGGAGGGTAATTGGGCCGCCGGTAACCTCACTCACACGACGAAACACAACGCGAGCGTTGCTTCACGTTGGTTTTCTGTGAGGTCGTGGTATCACTCCGGTCGAGCCAGCCCATTCGTGCCGAAGCATGGCTCTCCCACACTTAAAATATTTGTTTATAAGCAGCACAAAGTTAGTCTAGTTAAACGCAGATTAAGTTTTTTGTGGACGTTTGGTCAAGTTCGTTAGTGGTTGGAATAGAATGGACTTAATAATTTTGTAAACTTGGATTGTAAAAAAATCGAACCACAGCACAAGTGCGAATGAATTTCTGGACGAATATGATATGGTATTGATATTTGAAATTATAAAATGAAATAGACAGCAGCAGGCAATGCCAGAAGACGTTGCAGATAGAAGGATTATGACCAAATAACAAGTTTATAGTACACATTCAAATGGGATTATGTATTCAGATATAAAGTTTGTTTTGTTTTTTTTGTATATTTTTTTAAACACTGTCCCTCAATAGGATTGTCTCCTGTGTCGTGGGTACGTTTACAAACATACAAGTTCACATACACAAAGTTGCCATCAACTATTCGCCGATCAGTATCCTAAATCTGCTGTCGTAATTTTCCACCATTGCATTGCGCCACACACTAGACGTTTTACTAGCAGATCGCACATAGGCTATGTAGTATGGCTATTGAACGTATGTATGTATAGCGGCTGGGCTATAAATCGTAAGGAGGTCGCCTCACATTTAGCCGTCCGTCGGTCAGGTCGGCCGGAGTTCCGCGCTTTTTATTACGTAATGGGTTTCCTACGGCGGTTCCTTCGCGGGGGACAAATGACTGGGACAGCGGTGGGATGGTGGGATGTATGGATAATCATATCTTTAGAATTCTCTAGCATGTTCTAGAATACATTATTCTTACAAAGCATTTTTGACTCGAATATTTGCGTTGTTGCTAGGCGAGTACGGTCATAATGCAACGTGGTTTGATTTCGATGCTACATAGAATAATTCTTTGCAGTTTCACAAAGTGTAGTTCTGGCTCTGAGTGCAATGAGCATGTGAAACTGTTTGGACGTCCATCCAAGAAAACCCTTATGAAGGGGTCTCCCTTCATGTATTCATTCATTTCTTTTTAGAAAACAGAAAGGACAATAGAAATACAATTTCTTAATATGGAACGCTATCTTTAGGTCGCAGGATACTTGCAAACTTTTTGCAAGTTATATTATTTAATGTTGACCTTAATACATGTACTTTATTACTGGCATTATCACGTAGCGTTGGATGAAGGTAGGATGTAAACAATGGAGCGGTTTAATTATTCCAGCGAGTACCGACCGCCGAGCTATGCGCATCCTGTCCTATATAAATGTTGTTTATGATACATTGTAGTGTGATATACATATATGTAAAACTAACTTGCGCGCGGTTTCATCCGCTTTGTAAGGCTCCTATTGGTCGGAGCGTGATGTTTTATAGCCTATGGCCTTCCTCGATAAATGGACTATCCAACACAAAAAGAATTATTCAAATCAGACCTGTAGTTACGGAGATTAGCGCGTTCAAACAAACAAATAAAAAAACAAACTCTTCAGCTTTATAATATTAGTATAGATTATGAATTAAATAAACACGTACTTATTTCCTATGAGTATTCATATGGGATTGTGAGTACTTTTTTAAATAATCCAATCGAGCCTATTTAAACGTACTGCCGGCACTAAATGGGGTTTGAACCCAACAGAGGGTGTCCTCAACGACGTGGTCATTTAGTTTGTAAGCATATTTTGGGTCTCCGGCTGGAGTAACCGCAACAATTTGTCGGTTAAGTACCTAATTAGTAGCGTGCCGTAGCGGGTTGGACACAATTGTGAATTTCATCGACAGGAAAAATGCAATTATAGTTTGGTTTGAATTATATGAACATGTAGCATTCAGCATAGTCTTTATAGTTAAGTACTAGTGTGCTAGGTGAGTTATTTGTCGGGCTAACCCGGAGGTTTAAGATGCTTCGAAATCTACCAACGACAAGTAACAATGTAACTTTTTCCGAGTTATATGTACCTTCTAAGATTATCTAGACACTACTGACAAACGGTGAAGGAAAATATCGTGAGGAAACCTGGGATTATAATTTCTAATTATGTATTAGTTTGTAATCGCCAACCCGCATTGAGCAAGCGCGGTGATTAATGAAAGAAAGAAAAACATTTATTCGACAAATAGGCACACAAATGCAAAGATTAGAATAAAAAATTGAAGAAATTTATATAATACAAAATAATAAAATAAACTTAAAAGGATAAGAACAAAACAACAACAAAGGATAACAAAACATGAACACATGATACAACACAACAGATATTAAATATTAAAAAAAAAAGAAAAAGACGTTAAAATAATACTTCAAACCTTCTCCGTGTGAGAAGAGACTTTGCTCAGCAGTGGGACATATAGGCTGTGGATGATGATGTGCTAGGTGAGCACAAACGCGCTACAATAACTAATTCGATATCTGAGTTGAGAAGGGAAGAAAAACAGGCATTGCATATACCAGTTTTTTTTTCAATATTTCGTACCCTTCGTTCAATACACAATGGTACTTTCAGGAGCCAACCCCGGCGTGGCCTCTCGTCCCCTATACGAGACGGTAGTGCTGAAGTACAGCGTGGAGAACTCCTCGGAGTACCAGCCCTACGTGGAACAGCTCAATGATTTCTTTCAAGGTAAGTTTTACAGTTTATTATTTCATATCTTAAGTAGAATCTGGCTTTTATTTCAATGATCGTATTTCAATTGAGTAGTATTATTATGTTCTCTTTTCTTTTTTTTTAATTTGCCCCACGCTAGGTTTTTCTAGGTTCACTAGGTTCATAGAAATATACAAGTTGACATATACATGACACCCAGAACATAAACAACAACTTGTGGTTCATACAAAGAATCGAACCCGCTACACGTCGTACGGCAACCAATGGCAGCCACCGCGCCAACCGTGTAGTCAGATTAGGTATAGGTACCTACCTATATAACAAGTATATCTTTTTGTAACGAGGGTAAAACTTAGGTATCTTTTAAGTTAATAATATATGTCAATGCAATTCGTCTACATTATCATTTTTTAATAGTTAACAAATCTACGAGTTTCAATCAAATTGTCTTGTCAAATTCAGATTCACTTAACTATCTGTACTTGTACACCACGACCTCTACATACATAATCACCGTCAGCTAAGAATAAGTTTGATAGTGCAAACACCGCACCCTCGGGCGTGGCTCGAAGCAATTTGTTCGCGTATGGGTATCACCAGCCGACATTGTGCCAATCAATAGTTTCATGGAAAACTACCACACCATGTATACACCATAGACGTACAACTGTATAGAATGGACAACCTTCGTGATTGTGAGGTATGAATGGAATAGACTGGGCTATGAATGTATGGAGGTCGATAATGGTTTCAGATGAGGTTGTAGGCTACATTGTTATGTCATTTAATCTCTCGAGGAGGGTAAGGTCCTTGTTTAATTATGATACGGACTCTTTACTACTTTTTACTTATATTACGGCCATATACCGGGAACAAAACTAAAAAAAGGCAGTTTGTGAGAATTTGTGAAAACCGAAAATCTTCTGACGCATGATTGGAATCCAAGAACCCTGAAACTCACGCCTCAAAGTGCCATCAGACCACCATAGATAGGACGCAGTAGGGTTGAAGCCCTATATGAAGCAGCGGAAGTCGTAACGGGTTGCCGGGGCTCCGGCTCAAAGAGCAGGAATAGGAACTGGGTGGTTTTTAGTCAGTAAGTAAACTTTTACACCCGAGGCGGGAGAAGTCATTGGATGATTAAAAAATCCTAAACCATATTTCGATAGGTTGATGTTGACCATACCACCAATGAGACAGTCTAGTTTAAACAAGTAATTCACATCATCAATTCACTAAAAACACCATAGTATTATACTTTCTTATAGTTTGAAAAAGGACTTTGAAAATTAATTGTTTTGGTGTAGCTTACAGCAGTGAGCGCTGGTACACGGCCCAGAAGGAATGCAAGGCTGAGGACCAGTACGGCTTCCCTGAGAACCCCTGCATCTTCGTCAAAGTCAACAGGGTAGGTGATGGAATATGACAGACTAAGGATAGGATCTTATTTCACATAAATAACGGTCGAATACTGAAAGGCTACTAAATTTGAAGTTTTTTTTTCTCTTCTTTGGTAAACGAGTCTCCAAAACGATCTTGTCGACTATACTGCCAGTGTCAAGTTGTACTTAAATATTGTCATATCGTGCTATCTCTGTCATTTGACAAAGAAATTGTAGTGACAGAACTATACTGAAACCTCCTCCTTTTTTTGAAGTCGGTCGAAAAAATTGAGTGATGTTTGAGTATTTCAGCGTAAAGCCCCCATCTATACAAAAATTCTTAATTAACATGGCAATCTAATTCTGGTGATGGATTATATTCAATACAGACAAAGCCCGAAAATAATTATAGTTTTAATGGATTTTAACTAATTATCTTGATGTTTGTTTTATGGAAGTGACATTAAACTCTTTTCAGATATCGTATAATATGTATTAATTGGTTCCAGATAATTGGCTGGAAGCCAGAGTACTATGAACCAAAAGACCTGCCCTCAGACATGCCTGAGGACCTGGTGGAACACATCCAGGGACTTGATCCCAGTCAGGTGAGAGACTTGACTCACTATAAACATTTGAGCTCATATTTAGAAAAATTTGACTTGATGGTAAGCAAATCGTGCTACTTATGGACACTTGCAGTGCCAGAGCCTCTTAATACTTGTATATTTTTCTTTCTTTTAAAAAACATTACCCCACACAAGGATTTTCTCCTGTGTCGTGGGTGCGTTTACAAACATACAATTTAGTTACTAAGCGTTTACTAACCTAACCTACATACGGTTAGCAACCTGGTAATTATGGTAGGAACTGAAATCGGAATATATTGAATACTAATCAAAGTTCTGAATTCAATAGCAAAAGCAAGTGTGGATATCCTGTGAGGAGGAGAAGGCGAATGACACGAAGCTGGAGTACCCATGGGGAAGAGGCATGCCGAAGGAATATTACCCTTATGTGAATGTTAATACGGAGTATAGGAGCCCGCTCGTCGCTGTGCGGTTATCTTCACCAGGTAACTTTATCACTGTTCTGTTTATGACGTCATGTTTCTTTTTTTTCTGTAATAAATGTAAGAACGTTTTCCGTTTGCTTGTTTCCCCTAGATTCCTGTACTTACATGTTCAAATGTAGATGGGACATTAATCGTAGTAAAATGGTTATATTATAGCCAGAATAAAATAATTATGTAAGAGGAGAAATTGAAGTTTAAAATGGTTTAAGACGCCATTTTTTGAAACCACACACATGGAAGTATAATACCTCTTTTCTTGATTCCAGCACATAATTCAAACATCGTGATCCGATGTAGGGCGTGGGCCAAGAACATAATACACAACAAGAGTCTAAAGGAACCGTCGGGGTACACTCGCTTCCAGCTGTACGTTGAAGGCAATGACAGTGGCAACAGCACTGAAGTTCATACATAAGCGGCAATGCATCGCGTTTACTGCGATAGTGTAGTTCCGTTTAAGTACAGAAACGTGTAGTACTGCCGGTTAGGCTGGGTATACATTAGCTGTTGTTAGTGATAAAGAAAAAAAAGTTGTAAGTTATTAACGCAATAATGCATTTTGCGATGCGTATTTATGTTGTAAACAAACGTATGATTTTCTTCTCTACACTGTGTTTTTTAAAAAAGGTTTTTAATCTATAAAGAACCGAAAGAAATTATCTACTCAAGAACCGAAAGAAATTGCTTTAATAATAGTTATTATATTATAAAGTGCCTTGCTTATGTAAGTATTTGAAATAAGGCAAAAAGCATCTAGATATTGTCTACAAAATTGTACAATGAGTATCGATTCTCACTAACACAGAAAATCAACTTAAGATTTTGCAAACGAACAACAACTCATTTGTATACCCAGCCTTATAGTAAATAGATCAATTTTCCATGATGGTGAGTCACCAGGTGTCTGTCACCACTTGGATTCCAACAGTATACTTATAGCTTGTGATTTACACGCCTTATGTGTGTGCGGTCAACAAATGGATGGGTGTGCAAACAGCTTAGTAGAACTACTTTATAATCCTTGTCTTTACACGTGGTCTTATCCGCCATATTTGTAAAAACGTAATAGATGAAATTAATTAATAGATGTATAATCTTTATTTGTTTATTTTACTATTGAATATCATGCTTTTTATCTCTTGAAGGAATGGGCAGATGTCTACGTTTAGGCCTAATTTTCCATCAGTGTACGTATCTATATAGCTACGAAAACTTTTAGACGTAAAAAGTCGTGAATCCGTGATGTTATTCATAAAATTATCTATTCTATGTCGAACGAACAAATTTTTGTATACTGAATTTAGAGCTACCGTTTTTGCTCACTAGATGGCCCTAATCTAATAAATAGACTTTTGGTCTCAACACTGTAGCTGTTTAACGTAAATTTGAACGTCGAATGTTGTTGCACTAACTAATTCGCAATTGAATGAAGAACGAGAGTGACACAGTGACACACTAATGCCATCTGGTGGGTAAAAATATAGCAACCTCCATTGCTTTGCTTTTGTAAAATGTGGTGAATGTTTTTATTCTGCTATTGGTAGCAACAAAGATTACGGAAGATTATAATGAATATATGAATGAATATTCATATACGGAATATATGGCTAGCTTAATCTACGTAGGTACGACGATTATGACGCTGGACGATGTAACTACCAAGATATTATTTTGTATTTGTTATGAATTGTTTTTTAAAATGTTATTATTTTGCGGATAACGTATCGTTTGGCTGTGTCCAATGCTATGTGCCTTGTACCTACACCAAATTCAATTATGATATTTTAAGTGAATAAAACAACTGGAAGAGTTTGTCTTGAAGTTTTATAATACTGTAGTAACTTAAACGACAGTTCTACTTTTAACAAAAGTTTATAATTTAGTACTTTATTATTACTTTACTGACTGCCTCGTTGGCCGAGTGGTCGCAATTGCGACTGCCGAGCAAGGGGTCTCGGGTTCGATTCCCGGGTCGGGCAAAGTATTACTGGGTTTTTAAAAAATTCTCAGTAGTAGCACGGAGTCTGGAACTGTGCCCGGTATAAGGCAATAGGCTCACCCCCTATTACATGGGACTCATAAAATAAATAGTGAAAAGTGGGTGTTACATTGTACAGTGGTATAATGTGCACCTCTGCCTACCCCTTTGAGGATAAAAGGCGTGATGTTATGTTATGTTATGTTATTACTTTATTTTTCATGAACTCAACAATATTATGCCAAATTGTAGATACAATTTGACATACAAACGGGAATAATACCTATGTATATAGATATATACATAGGTATTATTCCCGTTTGAAAAAAGTACGATACAACAATTTTAATTTTAATCAAATTTCGGTAGATGATATATTGTGCGCATGATGTTAACGTTAAGTTTACGGGAAATATTCGACATATTTCTAAAAGGAATGTAAATTAACTAAAGTATAGTGTAGTCAACCAAGTTATTTCGTACAATATAAAGATTTATTCGGTACACAAATAGTAACTATTGTTATTGTACTAAATTATATGATTTTGAACGAAGCTCTTTGAAACTATAAAGTAATTTCTTACTCACTATCTCGTTGGCCAAGTGGTCGCAAGTGAGTCTACCGGGCAAAGACGGACTTTGGAATTGTGTCCAGTAATGGCAATACGCTCACCTCCTATTACACGGGACTCATTACATAAATAGTGAAAAGTGTGTGTTTCATTGTGTCATTAAGTGCCGTAATGTGCACCTCTGCCTACCCCTTCGGGGATAAAAGGCGTGATGTTATATTAGTTTCTTACAGACTCAATCTTTATTTTCTTATTTGCATACTAATAACTTGTAACTTGGTTGACGGTACATGTATGCAAGCGCTCTCTAAAAATTTAGAATTAGGCGAGTATTAAAGGTGGTAGTTTTTATCTGTTTGTATAGAAATGTCTCAGTTACCAAAGATCCTGTTGTCACAGGCCCTTCCAGTGCATTATACTATAGTTGTATATTCTTGTATGTATATTGTAGAGAGTGTGTCCGTGCCTGTTTTGAGTACAAAACCTATTTATAAATATTCCAAGTTGTTGATTGTATAAATGTGAATTCAATTTTGAAATAAATATATCAAATTTTATTATTTTGTGTGTTTTTTATGTACTGTTTAGTAACTTATACCAGGGCTGTCCAAACTATTTAACCTCGCGGGCTAAATAAATTTCTTACAAAAGCTGAAGGGCCAGAAATATATTTTCAGTTGTATAATGACGACAAAACTTGCATACAAATCATACACTGAATTTTATTACTGTTGTTGCACATAAAATGGTCAAGTTCCCATCTCTCATTAAATACTCGATGTTCGTCACTTCGTAGACATAATGCAGTTGTCGAGGAGAACCTAACAGGTAACCGGGGCTCCGGCTCGACGTGCAGGAGAAGGAACGGGGTGGTTTTTAGTCAGTAAGAGGCTGACACTCCCTCCCGCCTCACCCAGGCGGGAGCAGTCATTCGATGATTTTCCCCCCTTTAAAAAAAAGACATAATGCAGTTAGTTAAGTATTTTACAAAACTGCTGCTAAGAAGTGCCGTTACGAACTAAGTTGAAGCATAACTTAACTAATACGGTCAACATCAAATCGTTACTCGACAAAAAAAAACTTTTCGGAAATTCCATATTAAAAGTATTTATAATAGTAAAAGTAGCTTCACTTTTGATCACTTCACAAAGTGATCATGCGAATGGAATGTTGCACGACGAAAGATTAATAAATTATACCATATGTATATACCTATTGAGAATATGTTTTGACAAAGAATAATATTATCCAAATTCCAAACTATTTGTGTCCAAAACTAATTTGCAATTAAAATGTGTGTCGCGGGCCGCATGAATACAAGCCGCGGGCCGCATGCGGTTTTTGTTTGGGCAGCCCTGACTTAGAGTATGATGGTCGATAAGTTCATTTATTAAGTAAGAGATGTCGGTTCATCTCAGTATCAAGCAATATTGTCAAACTTGTTGAATTCTTGCTATTTAATCAATACTGCTACGTCTTCAATTCCTCGAAAGGGTATTATGTAGATAGAACCATAATTAATTGCAATATCACCAGTTATGTTTATACACTCTCACCAGAAATGAAGTCAGACTCCGTGGTGAGAATTTTTATAAGCCAATAACTAGCCCTACGATGTTTTTCCGGACAAGGTTATCAAATCTAAGACCCCGGTTTACTCTAATTCCTATTTAACTAACAAGGTAGTCGTCGAAAAAGACCACAAATGTTTTGACGTACTTACAGAAACGTATATACGTTTCTGTATTTATGAACCTCGTTTTTAGATTACTTTTGCCACCGAGTTAAAGAACGAATTTCTCTCTTCTAGACCTTTTTAAAACCACTAAAAGCCTTGATCAATTGAAAAACTATTTTCTTATATACTTGGTAAGCGTGTGGAAAATCGCAATTAATAAGGTTATACACATACCTTAGCACCTACTTTGCTAGAAACTAAGTACAGAACAATACCTAGCTAGAAACACCAGTCATCAAGTTTTCAATTACTTATGCTATAAACCACGTACCTGTTGCCGGTTAGATACAACCAAGTTATCTAGCACTTAGAACATTAGTTTGTTCAGGGCTCGGTCGTGAGGGGGCGCTGGGGCGGCGGGCGCTGGGCGGGCGGTCCGCCGGTTACAGGCAGATTTGGGCGGCAAGAGAAGCCAAAGAGTAGGTGATATCCAGACTGGACTGATGGCAATGTTTAGAGTTATGTCGATGTTATTGATAAGGAAAAAGTATATGGTAATAATGTTTTCGGTTTTATTATTTTCACATGAAGCGGATATCCGTTTATTAATGTTACTTAATTATGCGTTTTATTACAAATCGTATTTTATACAATAATCATGTTAATCGCCTTCTCATTTAATAAGAATAAGATTAGCTATCTACATAAGGATACTTTATTCAAACTAACTCCATAGTAACAACAAAAATCCTCACAGAGGCAGCCTAGACATAGGTACAAAACTCATACGAATCAGTTTACCTCATTTCGGTTGCTTACCGGCAGTCTTCATCCACCGAGCCGCCACGATGGGCGCCGACAAGCCGAATGGCGTGGTCAACTACTGCCGAAGACCAGTTCAGAGACCCTTCCTCCAAAGAATCCAGTATGGAATCTGGAATCCAGAAGACAGAACATTCCTGGGCAGAACTCCACATCGATGGGGTGAGTTTTTGAAATTCGAATTAGGTATTTTGAATTTTAACGGTTTATTTTTTAAATTCGGAAGCTGTATCAATTTTTTTATCAGGTTACCTATTAATTTATTATTGTTTTTTAGAACAGGAACAAATTTAGTATTTTTTTTCTTTTGAAAATAGAAAAAAAGTTTTCCAAGTTTCGGTTTGAATTTGGAATTATTTTTTTATTAATGGAAATATGCCTGTTCTAAAAAATGGAATTGTACCCGGTATATGGCAATAGGCACCCCGCCCCCCTATTACATGGGACTCATATTTAACATAAAATAGTGAAAAGTAGGTGTTACATTATACAGTGGCATTAAGTTCCGTAATATGCACCTCTGCCTACCCCTTCGGGGTTAAAGGCATGAAGTTATTATTATTTTTATTCAAATTAATGTCTTGTCATTGTCCAGGACATTGGAAGGCTTTCCTATTATTATTATTACCACAAAAAAGAGAACTATCGCTTTCAAAGAGTTCGTTATGACTTTATCTACCACTCATATATTAGGGAAATATATGTATTACATGCCATACTTAATATGGATCCCTTGGGGAACAAAATACGTAATGTAAAGAGTATATAGCCTCATTCTGCGTGATCGGAAGTGACGCTACTACCCACACTGTGGTAAAAATGGAGTGGGAATTAATTAAAAGTAGTAGTTTATTTGTTTTAGCGTATTACATTAAACATGTGTATCGTATTATTCAGTTGAAGAGTTCAATAAGTTAGTACACCGTGGTTAAACACTAGCAAATTAGTTTTGTATACAAACTAGACATTTCGCCTTGAGAGTATACTCAACACGTGTTTGCGCTAGTAAAATGAAATTAACAGCGAAATGGTTTTGCCTTTTGCATGGGAATCAAACTCACGACCTGTTTTTAATACTTTGGCAAGTTTGGCACGCGTTCGTTCCGTGTCTCATAATATTTAAGATTAAATTTGGTTTATGCATGAGGCATAACATAAGTGTGGGAGAGCCATGCTTCGGCACGAATGGGCCGGCTCGACCGGAGTGATACCACGGCCTCACAGAAAACCAACGTGAAGCAACGTATAATCCCCAAAAGGCCGGTAACGCACTTGTAACGCCTCTGGTGTTCCAGGTGTCCATGTGCGGCTCTGATCTTACCATCAGGTGATCAATAAAAAAAAAATAAGTAGGCGTGTCTCACGAAAGTTATAATATAAAGAATCTAGTGATGAAGATGAAGTAATTACTTCTTTGCCTTTCTTTTAATTGCTGAAAATCGTGTCAATACTTGTAAGCCCTGATGAAGGAGCAGGCCAGGTTAGTCCACCGTTCCACGCCACTCCGCCATCTACTTCAAAGGCCAAAGAAAAAGAGAATTGTGTGATATCACACACTTCTGCTCATCTCTTCAGGAGTTAACAGGCATGATACTGTGTAAACAAATGTATGTATATGTATACGTTAATATATATAGTTTTATACTGAAAGATAAACATTGGTCAAGGATTCGATTCAGACGCCGGTCTGACTATAAATCTAATAGTGACATGTTTATTTTAATTTTTGTTTTACCCGAGTTTTTTAATATTTTTTTTGGTATGGATGAAAATATTAATGAAGTCTATTGATATATGGTGGAATAAATAACCTAGTTTTTAAAAATAGCATCATATAATATTTTCTAAACTTTGTCTAGAATTGCGATTGAAGAAAAGACCTCGTAATCAGCCACGTGTTCAGACACTTGTTTAAACTCACATGAGGTCACGCCTTTTATCCCCAAAGGGGTAGGCAAAGGTGCACATTTCGGCACTTAATGCCACTGTACAATGTAACACCCATTTTTCACTATTTATGTTATGAGTCCCATGTAATAAGGGGGTGAGCCTATTGCCATATACCACAATTCCACTTCCATTGGACTCAAGTATAAACTAACTCTAACATTAAAATTTTCATTACACATACTAAATTAATTAATATGCTTTGACGAGTAACTCGACTAGTTTCAAGCCATACTAGCACCGCGACAGTCGCCACGTCGTGTGTCCCGGAATGCTGTTCATATGAGCCTCTAGCATGGCTTGAAACTAGTCGACTGCCTCATCAAATAATTACGCGACTAAGCCGAAAAACAATTGAAGCCCAATTTTACCTTTAATATTTGAAAGATAGAAGATTGTAGTTTAGGTATGATGGTGTATTGTAGATTGGAGGTTGTAGTTTATATGGCATTGATTGCCTGACTAAGTGGTCGGGCAAAATATTGCTGGAGTTTCTTAAATAAGAAAATTTTCAGTAGTAGCACAGACGCTGGAATTGTGTATATGGCAATAAGTTCACCCCCTATAATATTAATTAATACACATTGTATATTGGCACAGTGGCATTAAGTGCCATAATGTGTACAGAGGTGCACCTTTTATTCCCGAAGGGGTAGGCAGATATTTTTTTTTTATTTATTTATTCTCATAAATATATACATTATTATTAAATATACAAAAATCGCCAAACTGTTACCAGTTTGTTGGCGATAATGGCGCTCTTAAATATTATTTATTATCCATATGTAATATATATATGGGCAGATATATAGGCAGAAGGCGTAGGGAATAAAAGGTGTGATGTTATGTCACCATTGCATTAATTCCCAATATAACCTAGGATACTTAAATTATTAGACCAAATATGGACATAACATTCAAAACGTCGACCTCTGTCTACCCCTTCTTTGACAAAAGGTTCAATCATATACTTGCTAGTAAAACCGAGTGAGTGTGAGTGAAGTGAGTGCAATTGTGCGAGCAGTTTCAATGAATCATGTTCCCGAGTTATTTTCGATTTTATCCCCATCATAACTGGTCGGTTTTCAGCACGTGAAAACTGAAATTACTTACGAATACGATTATATTCAATGGTGGCTGTAATGAGATTTGGATACAAGAAGGAAAATTTGCTTGAAATTCATTTGTTTTTAACCGACATCAAAAAAGTAAAGGAGATTCTCTTTAGGTCTTCTCGGAGGAGATTATCTCGCTATTAGCTGAACCGATTTTAAAGCAGTTTTCAGAATAGTATTTATTACACTTCAGAGAAGGATTTAGTATTAAAAAAAACGGTACTACTAGGATTATCTCCTGTGTCGTGGTTGTGTTTACAAACATACAAGTTCACATACACATGACACCCAGACCCGGAACAACTATCTGTGGATCACACAAAGAGTTGTTGCGTGCGGGAATCGAACCCGCGACACGTTGCGCGGTAGCCAGTTGCCCAGCCTCTGCGCCAACCGTACAGTCGTCAGTGTATTAATTAACCGACTTCAATAAAAGAGGGCATTGCAGTCGGCGTTTTTAAGCATAGTTCTAAAAGAATTATTATGTAAATAAAAAGGTGGTAATATAAATGTAAGGAGCTATATTATTTAAAGGGGTGGGCTTATTATGGAATACCTTTTAAAAATTTATTACGTAGAGCATGTCAAACTCAATATAACGTAACTAAGTGCCTCATAGTGGAGTGGTCCCAAGAACAACTGCCGAGCAAGTGGTACCGGTATCTCGGTTTGTCGTTAATTTTCTTAGCCAACTTCAAAAAGAAAATAAAAAGTATGTTCTCAGTGTGACCTGTATTTATGTATGCTTGTTTGTGCGGGATTATCTCGCTATTGGCTGAACCGATTTTGAGGCGGTTTTCAGAAAGTGTTTGTTATCCTAAGTTAAATTTCAATTAGTTAACATGCTCATGATCGATAGTCTTTTTCAAGGTTCATTCCAATGCTGTGTAACAAATCTTATCAGAATCGATTCACTTATATTTATTGTGAAATGTTAATTTTTGTGATTTCAAAAAAAAAATAAAACAGTACCAACCGAATTTATCCCCTGGCAATAAAAAAAAAAAAAGTACAGAAAACTGTCAGGCGTCATTTTCCGAGTTTCAAACTATCATTATGGATAAAATACAAAACTTCAAAATACAAAACTGTCAAATACAGTGGTCAAATTCACGACATTCAAGGGAATAAAAAGAAGGTAACACGACCGATTCAATACGATATCAAACAGTAACAAAAACCTATCTATAGTTAGAGTAATCTTATTATTGGTTAGTTATAGCGTCTACTTCACATAAGGCACGTCCTAACATCAATCGTCGGTAATACTGCATTACCGCGTCACGTCGTAAACTTGTCCGCAAATAGGAGTCGGCCTCGGCAACAAAATACATATATGTATACCGGTCGACACCGGTATTTACTAGTGTTTGTTGGTATTTTAATACTTCTACTATATTCTAGGTTAAGGGTAAGTCATGGTGGCAGTTGGAGGTGAGGTTATACGATTAGTTTTGGTCAAAACTATTACCGGGTTTTAAAAAAAAACTCACCCCCTATTACATGAGACTCATAACATAAATAGTGAAAAGTGGGTGTTACATTGTACAGTGGTATAATGTGCACCTCTGCCTACCCCTTCGGGGATAAAAAGGCGTGATGTTATGTTATGTAAAAAAATCTCAGTAGTAGCACGGAGTCTGGAATTGTGCCCGGTATATGGCAATAGGCTCACTCCCTATTACATGGGACTCATAAAGTAAATAGTGAAAAGTGGGTGTCACATTGTACAGTGGTATAATTGCACGTCTGCCTACCTCTTCGGGGATAAACGGCGTGATGTTATGTTATGTTTTGGTTAAAGAATTTGAGGTCTCAGAGATTCAGGACATAACTTCAGTAATTAACATTGGACTGTGAACCTCGCCTCTAATTATGGATTGTTGGAACCTAGGGGCATCCTTTACCTACCTTCGTTTAGGAGGGTTGGTAGGCGGATTGGAGATGCAGTTTTAAAGGTTAAAATTTTGCATGAACATTCTTTAATAGAATTGAATAAAGTACTGATTCATATTTTATGAAAATTCAATGTCTAACAATGCCAAAAAGGTCTCGCAGAGCACACGACTGCCTGATTTTTAATGTGTTATTTTAAATGTGCTAAATTTGAAATGTGTCCTTTCGGTTCTTATGACAACTGCGAGTAGAAATTTTTGAGAATCTCTTTGATCACCATATAAAATCTAAACCACGTAGAGTTCCTACCCAGGTTTCCTTTTTAATCTGTGCCCAGAGATTCAATACAAACCAGTCATGACGTAGACTATACGCAAGTTTCTAAAAACAGTTTAAGTCTACGTAGAATCGCAATAAATGTAAAATTATGTTTGTTCAGCGTCCAGTATCTTCACGCGAACGATATTATTTGTACAAAGTATAGTTGTGTATATTAGTGTAAATGTTACTGCTGGTATTTTCATTAGAGATAGCACTTTTATGATGATTTCACTGTCCATAAAACTTTGTTTGAATGTGTCTACCTTCATACACGAGTGAGTGGTTTCGTGTTTTTATTACTGTGTAGTTTAATTTGTATTTGTTAGAAAGAATATGGTTGCTTAATATTTTTTATGTGGTAAACTAGTACTGATCACCTGATGGTAAGCAATCGGCGTCGCTCATGGACACCTGAAACACCAGAGCGGTTACAAGTGCGTTACCGGCCTTTTGGGGATTAGGAGTTTGAGGATTGTTGGGGATTCAGGGATTGGGGAGATTGGGGAAGGGGAGGGGGTAATTGGGCTTTTGGTAACCTCACTCACACAACGAAGCACAACGCAACCGTTGGTTTACGTCGGTTTTCTGTGAGGCCGTGGTATCACTCCGATCGAGCATTCGTGCCAAAGCATGGCTCTCCCACACTTGAAATGAATGTTATTTCATTTTTCTGTAACTTTATTTTATAATTTTCAGATATTGGAAATTTATTCAACAATCGATTGAGATGCATTCTCTTTAGCATTCTAGTTATACGTTCACTATACTTAATGTATTTCATTCCAAAATTCTCAACCGCTTGTGCTACGTTTATATAAAAATTAAATATGAATTGACTTCAATTACATACGGACATTTCCACACTATTTAATTAGATACATTTCCGCATAGAAAGTGACAAACAATTACTACATTAGGTCCTATTTTTCTTCACACACGAAAAAAGCCGTCGTCCCCACGGTATTTTTCGCTCCACACGCTGTTTCCGCGAATTCTATAGTACCGGCCGATCGCTCAATAATTCATGGTTTCTAGTAAATCTTACAGGTATTCAGGGCATTGCTTTAACAAATAGATTTATAGTATTGTTCATTCAAAGAATTGATTAAACTTTAGCAAGTCTTCTTTTAAATGTATTAAAAAAAGACAATAGATAGTACCTACCAACGTGTTCTTTAAAAATAGGTGCAATAAGGGTTAGTTCACATTAAGTAAAGTTATCAACTGCCATTGACTTTTTAGCGGAATTTATTACTTACTCTGTGTACGTTCGACTTAATTGCGTACTTACTTGCTCGCGTTTTTACAAGTCCAACAAAAAGGCCAGCAAGGCACTTGTACCTTCTCTAGTCTTGCGGATGTCCACGGGAAAAACCAATTGTTTACCATTTAGATGATCTATCAGTTCATTTGTCGCTCTATCTTATAAAAATAGTTTGTGTTATACAACGAATAAACAGTTACTTACAGTAAAGTTGATCTTCAACTATTATTTAGCAGGAGTCCTGGCACCCCTGATGGCCATGCCTCGTGACGTAGCGTCAAATGTAAACAATGCGTGACCGGGTTGCGTTGCGCTTGCGCCGGCTATTTCAGCCATCTTGGCCGCCATCTTAGACGCCATGTTAGCTCTTTGTTGGTAACTGCACATTTTACGGATATGTAGTAGTAGGTAGTCTACAATACTATAAATACATCATAGCTACATGATCTAAAAGTGAAGCTATCGATGAAGCTATTCTCTTTAACACGTTAAACGCCATAGGGGTCACGGTCACGGTGACCGACGTAAGCGCAGGTTTTGCCTTCAACAGTTTTTTTATTGACAGTCAAAGCCTTAACCGACTTAAAAAAAAGGACGTCGAAGTCGGTTTATTAAACGTAGATAGTTTTAAGAACTATTCAGGTTGCAGATTTTCTAGGGTTGTTTTGGTGTTTAGGTGATAGTATAAAAGTGTGCCTACTCAGCAGTGTACCTATATGTTTGATAAGCGTGGAGGACCTAAATTTATATGTTTTTCTTTTGTCGATACTTACCCTTGTTCGTTGGTCGATTGGTTACAAGTAAAAGATACACCACCAAGTAAAATATCTTGGGTTCGTTACCCGATTATTAGTTTTTTGAACATTGTCCTACTATCAGAGAGCTTGAAAGTGTGATAAATAAATAGGTGTATAACTAAAACATATTGAGTACCTCTATCTAATACTTTGTTGCTATGGTTTTGTTGCCAGCTGATTTGAATACGCACTAAGATAAGTAGATCCCATCACACGGCTTACGGAGCTCCGTCAGTGATTGCGTCACTAGCAGAGATCGTAGCTTAGCAATGATTTCCTTCACAGTGAGCGCGATGTGTAGTAAAATATATTTTCGGTACAAATGTATTAGTTTTATGACGGTCTCTCCATTGCGTTATGACGACCGTCTGCTTCTAAAAAAGGTTTGGTTTCACTTCGTGTAATGTTTGTCTGATAGTGTTCTAAATGAGGAATCGTGGGGTCCCTGAATCCCCAATAATCCTCAAATTCCTAATCTTCAAAAGGCCGGTAACGCACTTGTAACGCCTCTGGTGTTCTAGGTGTCCATGTGCGATGCAAATGGCTTACCATCAGGTGATCTGTCTGCTCGTTTACAGGCTAATCCCATAAAAAACACACCAAGAAGAATCAAGCCTCCTTCCTCAGCAAATACACTTGAGACTCCTTTTTTTTAATGGGACAACCTTCCAAAACCGCTACAACTCCTGTAAGCCAGTCTAGTATAGATCCTCTATAATAGATACAGCTATGAAAAAACCAGAACACTGAAGTCTGGCGCGTTCCACGAACATGAATAACTGTCTTGAATCACAGAAATAAATCAGAAGAGAAGAAGAAGAATAGCAACTTGTGAATGCTTGATAAAGTCATTATGTCGTAAATTGTCTTTAAAGTTACACTTTTCAGTTCGTTACAGACCACTTAGCACTTTATTATTGGGATTGATACACCAATGGATGTGATAATTCGCAATGATAAGTTACTCTCAATGCGTATGCACCGCTAATAGTTCCATCAAACAAGTTACTCATACGTTTATTGGTTTATTTGTTTTGACTATTATTGTATTTTGCGGGCTACTGATTGAAGACATGATAATAACTAATTAAAATAAGTTAACAAAAAAAGATAATTCTTCTATACACTATGTTTCAATAAACCGATTTCAAACCCCTCCTTTTGTGAAGTCTGTTAATTAAAATACAAGTGTAACATACATTTTTCTGAAACCCACAATCAGTTTAGCCGATCGCGAGGAGTTATTCCATGAAGCACACCCAACCGAAGCATTCCCAGACGAAGTATGTACACCTAAGGTACCACCGTAGGTGTGGGCTTCAGATAAAAATTTAAACTAATTAATTTCTTATTCCACGGAGCACACCTACGATAATCACTCCCATAGTGTGGAGACTAAGGAATAAAAATATAGATAGAAGAAAATATTCTTGCTATATTCCTCAAGTGTAATGGTTAATCATTTATGTTCCAGGTGTGATAGGGCTGATCTACCTGGTGATGTACATCTGCATCATCATCTTCTTCTCCATCTGCATGTGTGGTCTGCTCGCCAGCATGGACGAAAAGATCCCCTACTTCACACTCGCTGACTCCATCATTGGTAAGCATTTGAATATATATCAACTTTAATAAGTATCTTAGCAAGTTTAAGGCATTTTTTATATCTGATGGGCCGACGTTTGACCATTATCTCGCCTGGTGGTAAGCGGTGATGCGGTCTACGATGGAGTAAGTCATTTACCTAGTAAGTTACCCCGCCACTGCGCCAACACGTAAGAACGCCAGAACGTAAAGGGTTACCGGGCAATACCGGGGCTCGAAGTGCAGGAGTAGGAAAAAGGTGGTTTTTAGTCAGTAAGAGTCTGACAGTGAAGTCATTGGATGATTTCCCCTCTTAAAAAACTGTGCAGTCTAGTTACATGACTGAGTACAGCGGTTAATTATGTAACTTATGCCATTTTCCAACAATTTATTGTCAAGGGCTGTTCATGTAGGCAATTCCTATTACATTTTTACTGCCATCTTTTAATACATTTTATTCCACGAACAAATTCCTTGATGTACACGTACGTAAGGGAAATATTTAAATCAGGAATGTTTATTTGACTCACGCCGTAGAAGCATCCGTCAAAAGTTATTTCAAAAAGATATTTTAAGATCTTAAAAAATGGGTTCAAGGATTATCTTTGCAAAATGTTCGAAACGAATTTTATTCTGTTTATGTTACATTTATTTAAAAACGTTTTAGTAGTACCTAGAATAGAATGTGTTAGTATGAATACTTATAATAATATTAAGAGAGTAATGGCAGTCTATCAAAATATATTGTTTGATGTTGAAAGGAAGGTGGAACGTCTAGAAACAGAATGAATGGAGTGTGAGAATGACGAAATATGATGGCCGATAGATGAGAATGGAATCACACTAATGTTTTAAATATTTCTTTGTTTGAATGTCTGTCCTTCAATCACGCTGAAACTACTGAAGAGACTCGATGAAATTTCGTATACAGGCAGAGTATGGGCTGAATAAGGTGATAGGATACTTTTATCCCCCTGGAATGAAACAGGAATACGCGAACAAAGCCGCGGGTAAAAGCTAGTAGATCATAAAAGCTTCCTTGAACATTAGTAGAATCTGGTGATAAACATGATAATATTTTTGTAAAAATAAGGCTTTTGTATTTCCCCAGTCAGTGTGAAATTAAGAGTTTTGTGATACGTTTCATTTAAACCTAATTGATTAATGAGGACCCGTTTTTATGTGTAAAACCCTCATTCTCAGTGTAACAGCACATTTATGAGTGTCAAACTCATGATGGCGATCTGTATGATTCCAGGAGCAAACCCTGGCATGGGTCACAGACCCATACTGTTCGAGGAAGGAGCTCTCATCTGGTACCATGCTGACAATGAAACTCAAGTCAAGAAGTATGTGGATAACATCAATGAGTTTCTCGCGCGTGAGTAGATTTGATTTGCAAATTTCTTTTTTCTGCCCCCAAGCGAGACATCACGCCTGTCTCGCATATGTATATGTATGTATGTTCTTTAGAGAACTATATTATGTAAGGTGAAATATGCTTTAGGATAATATATATGAAACTTCAACTATTACACAGCTTTATTCTTGGTATGTAAAGTTTCTAAGTCATAAAAAACATTTACATTTCTACGAATTTTACCTGATTCATTTTTATGATTAGCCAAAATAAACCCATTAAAAACTATAAAAATATGATTGCTATCTCAACCACCATACAGTTTATATAAAAAGACGTATTTTCTCATCAATTTACTTTCCTTTTTCCAGCATACAACAACAAGAGCTTGTTAGTGAACCAGGGCGTGAACCAGCGTGAGTGTGGTGACGTGAAGCCTCCAAGAAATGAGGTCTGCGCCTTCAACACTACCGCCAATTTCGGGCCTTGCAACATGGAGAATAACTACGGATACGCCAACAAAACACCCTGTCTTATTATCAAATTGAATAGGGTAAGTGGAACTATTCTGTTTTAGAAGGAGAACCAAAGAATAGATAAATAGCAACTAAAATAAAGCAAGTTTAGAATTGCGAAAACAATGACACATAAACATAACATCACGCCGTTTATCCCCGAAGGGGTAGGCAGAGGTGCATATTATACCACTGTACAATGTAACACCCACTTTTCACTATTTATGTTATGAGTCCCATGTAATAGGGGGTGAGCCTATTGCCATATACCGGGCACAATTCCTGACTCCGTGCTACTACTGAGAATTTTTTTAAAAACCCAGTAATAATTTGCCCGACCCGGGAATCGAACCCGAGACCCCTTGCCCGGCAGTCGCACTTGCGACCACTCGGCCAACGAGGCAGTCAACAATGATTATTATCTTATCTAAGATGTGAACCGATGGATGAGACCTGCATTAAACCGAGCAGAGAAAGTGGGAGGTCTATATTTAGCAGTGGGTATACCTGAGATGATGATGATAACATCAAACAAAAATAATGAAGAAGATTTTTTTTAAAAGGAGATTCAATATGCATTTCCTATTATAGCACGATGAGGACAGAATTTTGGCAATACCAGTCACTAAAGTTTCATTGCCTGGAAGTGGTTGAAAACAATTTAGTTTTTGTTTGTTACAGTTATATGACTGGAACCCTGACTTCTACGACGATCCTGGCGACTTACCACCTGAGATGCCTCCTGACATACGAAATTATATAATGAATGCTACTGCACAGGAAGTAAGTTCATTTTTAATATTGAAGTTTAGTCAAGTTTAATAATAAACCTTAACAATATTAGAGTTCTACCATAAGTTAGTAAATAAATGACCCATATATTAACCTTCTTACATATTCTTCCAGCGTCGCAAAGTCTGGGTGTCGTGTATGGGTGAGCGGCCGGCTGACGTGGAAGCTCTGGGCGAGCTGAAGTACTGGCCCTACCCTGGTCTATCAGAGACCTTCTTTCCGTATGACAACACTCCTGGCTACCTGAGCCCGCTGGTCGCTGTGCAGCTACTAAAACCTAAATGTAAGTATCTCCCTAAATGACCATACACACGTCACGATTAGAAGTAATACATAGAAGAATTTGCTTTCTTCATGTATTTATTTACCTGTACTGGTTTGAGAAATTGTATAAATGAAACAGCCTATATATTGCCATTATTACAAGTTTATAAATTTTATTTTTACCTTTTTTCCAGTGCATCAAATAATAAACATCCGCTGCCGCGCGTGGGCGCGCAATATCATCTACACGGATAGTCTGAAAGATAGATTCGGCTCCACGCACTTGGAGATCATGATCGACTGAATGGGACCATTATTGCAGCATAGAGGGCGGGAGTGAGACTTAACCTGTGTTGATGTAGTGCATGGCCTTAGAACTAGATGGCGTTATCCCAACTTTCTGTAACTGAGTTGTTGATTAACAGAGAGGTAGTAAAAGTAGTGATAATGATTGTTGATTACATTCAAGACAGGTTACAGTCTCCTAAGATTAAGCTCTCCTAATTTAATTAATGTGTAGAAAAAAGTAGAAAATGCTGTTTATATAAAAAATACTGAAACGTCAAAACGTAAAAAAAAAACATATGTACTGAAAGGGCTGGAACACATAAACTCAATGACTGAATTTGTACAAGATTTTTGTTATACTGTAGTTTTGAGTAATTTATAAACTTTAACCTTAGCAATATAGTGTGCCCTAAAGATCAAGTAAAAAACTATACCCCCAAAGTAATATTACTATAGAAAACAACTACTTAATTAAATTTCTACTTCAATGACTCTACAGAGTTGTCGAAGAAATTATGTATGACGAGCACAAATTTAAATACACTATTTTGGTGAAAATAAGAATTAATGATATCACCTTATCTCCATAGCAACGAAAACTGTACTCACCTCGTATGGACATGTGCTGTTATTGTAAATGAGTACTTAAATAGATTGTGATCTAAATGTTAATTGGTATTTCATTTCAATCCCATATGTCTACGATTGGTCTATATTAGTATAATCGTGAATCAGATCACCTGTTCAATTTTCTATAACCTACAGTTTATTTAACTTAAGCCCCTCTTGGCCCCCATATTTATTTTTACCTTCTTCACCATACAAAATTACAGTGAATGGCAGACTTAATGTTTTAAGGCATTCTCTGACAGTCAACCATACGGAAGTGCTGAGAAATGAAGCGATTCATCCTAAGCCTGAACACAATTTTAAAACATAAAGTTTTAGTTAAATAATTACAATAAATATATTACCTAATACTTACAGTGTAAAAAAATATGTATACATACATAGCATAATAAAATATATAATGTTAAATGAATACTACGAATACCTTAAAAGGTCACCGATTCATGGTAGATGTCCCGCCCACACCCACGAAGCGCTTCGCATCAAGCTTCTTTGTGCGTTCTGCTAAGGAGTGGAATTCTTTGCCAGAGTCTGTATTTCCTAAAGGGTGTCTTCTAGGCCCGTGTGAATAGGTTGCTTATTGGACGACGTGCTCCATCGTAGGCCGCATCATCGCTTACCTCCTGGCGAGATAGTGGTCATCAAGTTCGTCGGCCCATCAAATGTATAAAAAAGGTGTATCATAGTAACAAAGCCAGATTTCGAAAAGCAGATTATCCCAATTACAAAGTATTTTAAAAGGTATTTAACCTTAATCCAATGGCTTTACCTAAATTTGTATTTGACCCACCATATTCCAGAGGAGCAGATGGATCACCCGATGGTAAGTGATCAGTGCCGCCCATACAGCATTAGAGAAGCAATAAACACGTAGGTAGCTGCCCTTTTACAATAGATTATGTTATTTTCTTGCAAGTTTGAGACCTTTGACCTATCAGTTGGGCAAGATAATACCGCAGGCGATAATCTATTCCTCACTAGCTTTCGCCAGCAGCTTCGCCCTCGTTCCTATGGAAAAAAAATGGTCTATGTGTTATTAACATAGCATAACATAGCATCACGCCTTTCATCCCCGAAGAGGTAGGCAGAGGTGCACATTACAGCACTTAATGCCTATGTGTTAATCCAGACTACAATCTATCCTTGTTCCGAATTTTATCTCGATCCCTTTAGCCGTTTTAATGTCAAAGAGATACATACATATGTACATCCTTTACAAACTTTCGCTGTCCGAGGTAGAAAACACAACTTACGGTTAGGTCTTAATCATTGGTTGCAATGAAAACAATAAAATTATTATCAATATCTACATTTATTAAGATAAATCACAAATGTTCTCACTCCGCTGACAATCACACTGTATATAACAATATTTAAATATACATATACAAACAAATACATAAATAAATAATATAAATACTGATATAAATTCTACATAAAATCTTTGGAAGGATATGTATTCATCCTAGCTTTTTGGCATTGTAGCATCGTTAACTAATTATTCATTATTAAAATGCTTAATTTTCGTCAATTTTCGAAATTAAATTGAATACTTATTAATCTTTGGTATTTTTTAATGAATAAATTATGTCTTTTGTAGTAAAAGAGTGTACACTGGCAGCTCTGATTACATGCGATATAGTGGTATCAAAATAACGTTGACAATTAATTCCATCTTACCTGATTTACAGCATTATTACAAAAGGCATCTCTCACATTTAAGGAATTAAAAATTACCTATACCGAAAAAGTCACCGATTGAGTGTACACGAACCTTTTAAAATACAAGTATTTTGAATTATGTCTCATAAATAGTTTTCCATTTTTCTTCTATATCTTCTTTGCCTGGCTCTGGTAGTCTACTCGATCATAATTTCAATATGCACTGTACCCATGGCTTCGTGTCTATCATACATTATGTTCCTGGCCCACGCTCGACATTCGATGTTGATGAGCACGCCCGCTGCGAAAATTTGCATACAATTAGTTCAATGCAATTTATGCTCATGCAAACTGCACGTAAGAGATTGCTTGTACTAAATATCATAAACACTGTTTCTCGCAACATCGTCCGCGTAGAAAATGAAAATAAAAGTAGCCTATGTTACTCCTTAGTAGATCAGCTACCTGCCAAAAAAAGTCTTGCATAATCGGTCCAGCCATTTCAGAGATTAGGCAGTACAAACCAAAATTGTAAAAATGTCATTTTGGTATGTGAATCATATGTATATTCATATGTATGTAGTAAAAAACTGTTATTTTAATATTACAAACCGACACTCCAATTTTATTTATCTATAAGATTATACATATATAATGATGGTAGTCGTCAATTAGCTTGACCCAAAATCAAGCTAAGCCAAGAGAACATTAATTAATTTGGTTTAAGTACAACAACACGAATGAAAGTAACTACCGTACGATAAAGGTTTACAGTCCTCAAATAAAAACTAAAGTACGTAGGTAATATCTCACATTCTGTAAGTATATTTAGATTGATGACGTTGCATTACTAACATAAATAAATCTGTACTGATCTATCGACTAAATACAGTCTGTAAGTGTGTCTTCAAGTTGACTTATACTCTCAAGACTCTTGATCGTTAAAAAAGTAATATAATACTTTAAAAACGTCCTTACTTTTTGGCCTCTGCAGATGTACAGCCACGAGTGGACTGAGGTAGCCCTCCTGGTTGGTGTACGGGAAGTAGTACCCTGGGAAGCCACGGTAAGGCATGTACTGGATGGGGCCGATGTTCTCCCTGTCTGCCGGGTTCTCACCCTGGCAGGATACCCACACCATGTTTAGCTGGGGAGGGAAATGTGATGTTATTGATGATGACTAGAGCCTTAATTAGTTGGCAATTACTGAAGTGAGCGTGAAGCATACCAATGCTTGTCCAACCAACGGGTTTATAGAATCAAGCTATATCATAGGTTTTTTACGTAAAAGGAGTTCATTACAAACTCCTCTCTTTGGTTTGTGGTCAATGTTTTTCTAACTCTATAATAAAAAGTAAACGGCTTATGTAAAGAAAGCTTATAAAAGGCTTTAGAAAGTATCTACAGCTTCTTATTTAATTAACCATTTGAGTACCGTCATTAAAAGAACAATAGGTATGCGGACACCGGTGTCCTCGCGTTGTTTGACAGTTTAACTGGAATTGACCGCATTTTCTTCAATATTAACGCTATTGATGCATTATTCTAGTTTATCCATTTTCACTCTTACAAATACTTTTGTTCTCGTGAACTTCTAAAATTACTGTCATGGTTATCAACTTACATAATTCTTATCATACGCAGTCATATTTCGGATATGCTCCTTCAGATCATCAGGCATCTCTCCTGGTAGACTGTCAGAGCTGTTGTAGAAGGCTGGTTTCCATCCAAAAATCTTGTTAAGCTTCAGGAATACACAGGGAGTGGACTTCTGGTAAGCAAAGTGGTTCTCCTCGAGACACGGTCCCCAGGCACTGATGTCCACGTCACAGACCTTACCAGCTGGTGCTGGGAGCTTGAAGTCACAGCTGTGGATGTTCTGGCTCGCTCCTGACTTCTTGCCGTCGCGTTTGTATACTGAAATGTTGATAGCATTTTAGACTAGAAATATCGGTTTGTGTATATGTGCGAAATAAGAAAATCAATTTTATGAGGAATGAACTAAAAAAGAGTTTGTGACAAAATACCTTTGGGTGGCAAAAAAAACGTGAACAACTGTAGCAGAGTTTATTTTATATCCTTTTTTCAGAAAAACGTTGCTCCAATCTAGGATTTTCTCCTGTATCGTGGGTCGTGGGTGCGTTTATAAACATACGAGTTCACATACACATGACACCCAGACCCAGAACAACAATTGTGGAACTCGAAAAGAGTTGCTCCGTGCGGGAATCGAACCCGCGACACATTGCACGGCAGCCAGTTGCCCAACCACTGCGCCAGCCGTACAGTCAATTTAATTAATTATTTAATAATATCTCACCTGCTAAAAACTTAGACAGTTCTTTGACCCAGAAGTTGTAGCTTCCAGGATCGTTGCCCTTATACCAGATCACGCTGCTGGCGACCTCTGGTGGCATTGGTCGGAAGCCGAGTCCAGGGTTCGTGCCGATTATACTCTTCTCCAGCTGCCACATAGGCTGCCGCGTGTCCAGGAGTTGTAGGAAGGTCCACATGCAGATGGCAACGAGGATTGCCAGCGCAGAGTAGAAGATGAAATAGAATAGCGCTATTTTGGCTGCAATAAGAATTTGTTACGTTTATTTGACGTCATAGTATATTTGGTAGAGAATTCCGAAAATATAATAGCTAGCTATTGATTTTCAACCGACTTCTAAAAAAATCTCCAAATAATGATTTTGATTTAGATTATGATCCATTTGTCCA